AACAACGTCATCAAAACATGTCACGACGCTCTTGACGCAGTTATGATTATCAATGCACATCATTACTCAAACGCTATGAATTCTTGTCGCTGCTCTAGCGATTTTTTGACATTCGCATCTGCCATCCAGCTAGGAATTCGCCCATACATGCTGTATCAGTTTCAATTTCAGCTGCCGTCATAGGCGGACTTGTGTCCTTAATCCAAGGTATCAAATTTCATAATGTGCACTATAAAGCTGAAAGTAAAACAATAGCAAAAGCGTATGCAACCTTAGCCTATTTCAGAACTACATTTATAACTTTAGCAATTCATAAGTTTTTTAGCAACTCCTACTTTTACAAATCATCGTCAGATACTTCTGTGAGTAAATATAAAGATACATAAATAATAATATAAAGACAATCAAGATACATAAAAGAAAGATAATTTTTAAAAAAATTCACTGTAATTTTAGTCACAATCTATACTTCCGAAAAGGACCCATTATTCTGGTCTACAAATTACTCTGTAAGTCACCAAGTTGGTTCACGTTAGCTTAGCAGAACAATTTTCTCTTTCAATAAAAAATTCTTAATATTTTCGCTGTATACAAATGAAACTTGCTCGAAGACTATCGCAACATCTTGATTACGACCTGGACGTCTACCTTGTGAAAAATCTTCCTTGATCTTCCACTTCTTACTAGGTGTATGATAGAGTTTTCGAGACCCACGCAAATAATCCAGTTACGCTGTATGATTCTGTAAGAAAGTCTCAATTACAGATGTTTCAATCTATAGCATCATCTCTGAAAATAAAAAGTTCTAAATGTCTGATTTAACAGCGCAATAATCAAGTCTTCCAAAACCAGCACAACCCATATGAACAAGGCTTGACAATCTTCTATACAGTTATATGACTAAATCTGTCTTGCATAGGCTCCAGTTAGATCGTGGATTCCTTAAAACTAAGAGGCCTAAATATAAATAGCTTGAGTGCTATAAAGCTTTCAGTTTTCTCATAATCATCTCACGCTTCCAAAGTCCCATTTTGGCACAAAAGTTTTACCGAGGGTTTCATTAAG